CAACAGAATTTTTATTTTTTTTACTTCTACCCCTGCCACCCCCCTCCCCCCTTTCAAAAAGAAAATTAAATTTTGTTTTTAAAAAATATTTTCAATTTCAAAAATTATTTTGTGTTCTAATAAAAATAAAGATATTTTTCAAAAATATTTTTCATTTATAAATCAAACACTAAAATTCTTTTTCGAAAAATATATTCTACTCACCAACCAAACATGAAAAAATATGTCAAAAATCTACTTGTTTTCAAGAAAAATATTTTCCATGAAAAAATATTTTTCTTGATACCAAACACACCCATAGTCGAACCAACTAAAAAGAGGTATCAAATGGACGAATTGGATATTAGAACATGTGGCTTTGAATCATGTTTGTAGCAAATGAGCGGGTTGGGTAGCTCACAGGATTAGAACATGTGGCTATAGACTAGGTTAGTAGCAAATGGGCGACTTAGATAGCTCGGATTATAACATGTGGCTACAAATCATATTATCGACCTAGAAGGGAAGTACCATAGCTTTCTCTTCGGGTCATTGGTACTTTTGCTCCTATTTTGTGTTTTATTTTTAATTTTTTATTTTGCGTAAGCTTATAATTTTATATCGTAATATTTCACAAGCACTATTGTAATACCATATTTTTTTTAAGAATTTATGTTCCGCACAAGTTGTATTGCTAAGGGGGGAAATGAGAAATAGTTAATTTGAATAACAAAAATTAATGAGTTATTGTTCAATCTTGTCCCAAGTAATTACTCAATTTGTCCAACTTTGACTCATTATTTTTTTATAATTATAAACTTACATTTCAGGACTATAACTAAAATAACATAAATAAATTGGTATTTTAGTTAACATTATTTTGTAAATATCAATACCAAATGAGTATAGTGTATTTTTCTTGTAGGATTTTACAGAATTTTACAATTTTGAAGAATGCCTTGAGTATATAGAAGATTTTATGTTAAAGAATGGACCTTTTGATGGTGTTCTTGGTTTCTCACAGGTAAGATTTACTCAACTCTCATTTAGGTTGTTTTTTCTTTTCTGTAAGCGTAAACGAGAAGAAATAATCTTTTACAATCAGTTATATTTTAAATAAGAGAACGATCTCAGAAAGATTACTTGTGTTATTTCTAAAGGATAATAACAGTTTTTAGTATAAATAGACACTTTAACATTGCATGTACTTAGTCAATTAAATAGTGTAACGAGTTATAATTCAACGAATTTGATAAGTCTCACAAGTAGCTAAGGATGAAATATGCACTACATCTTCAATTAATCGAAGATTCAATATGCTTAGTCAGATATTATAACCGATCTGTTTTTTTTCTTTTTGGTGTGTGTGTGTGGGGTGAAAATAGGGAGCTGTTTTAGGTGCAGCAATTCCAGGGATGCAAAGGGATGGAGTGGCTTTAACAAAAGTTCCAAAAATAAAGTTTGTGATAATAATATCAGGAGCTAAATTTGGAGGGCCAACTTATGGGATACCAAAATTGGTTGCAAATGCATTTTCATCTACTATCAATTGTCCATCCCTTCACTTCTTAGGTACTTTTTATCACATTACAATTTCTTTTTATACTATTACTGATGCGGCGGTAAGTACTCCTTAATCCGATTTTAGGTCGTTCGATTTTTACAGAATACAGAGATATCTTTGTTAAGGATAGATTTATCCTTGATATGAAACTTTCTAATGTGAATTGTTTGATTTAATCGAGCTTCAATATTAATACTGATTACGAAAATAACTTTATTGTGGCTCTAAACTCCCCTTCTTCGATACGAATAAATGTATTTGTCTTTGTTTTCAAAGGGGAGGCAGATTTTCAAAGAAAAGATGGTGAAATTCTGCTAGAGTGTTTTGTGGATACTCAAGTGATTCACCATCCTAAAGGACATACCATACCTAGACTAGGTGAGTAATTTATTTATTTTTTAAATTTTAAGGTCTAGTTTTTTTATTTTATATATATATATATATTATATATATATATTTACAATAGAATTTAGTAGCTTAAACTGAGACTCTGAATTTCTATCAATAAATCTAGTTAAAATGTATAAATAAATAATTCAGAACCTAGTAAGCAGTCTTTATATGAAATGTTGGAATCTATAAATTCAAAATTCTGAAGCAGGACACATTAACTCTCAACATGAATTTTATTGTCATTAAGTCGAAAAAAATGAATTTGAAAATTGAAGTATGAGTTTTTATATAATTTCACTTTGAAAAAAAAATGTTAGAATTTTTTTAAATACTAGAATTGATTATTATACCTTTATTTTATTTTATTTTTGCAGATGATAGCAACGTTGAAATAATGCTTGGATTTATTGAAAAAATTTCAACAACTTTGAAAGAGGGCACGAGTTTATCGACCGTATAGTTGTCCTCAAATGTTATTTTTTTTTCCAGATATGTCTTATTATATTTCTTTTGTCGTTAATGTATATTTATTTATTTGTATATTTTACGCGTCTCAAAATACTTGTTATATTTAATTAGAACTGTCGATTGACTATTTTATTATTATTTGTATCTCAAAAATATAATCTTCTTTTTATTTATATGTCATAATTAAAATATTATATTGTTTAAGAAAATTATGAATATGATTGAATCGGATTAAAATGAAAAACGAATAATGTAATTGAAATCCGATATTGGAAGTCAATATGGGGGGATTCATATTATATTGTCTAATATGCATTTAGGTTAATATTATCGTCTGTGTTTAATTCTTTTTAATTCTTTTTGATATGTGATTTATTTAAAGATCCGTTTATTCAATGTGATAAAAGCGTCCTCAAACTCATTTCTATAATATTTTTGTTATAAAAAATAAAAATACTTCATAATAAATTGAATCTTTTGAGCTATTACTTGTAAAAACTCATAATGAATTGCGTTTATTCTATTTCATTTAATTAAAATAGTAATCATTTCTTGAGTCTTGTTCTTCACCCTCTTTTTCAAGTATTTATTATTTATTTTATTTTATTTTTACTTTTTAATACTTATGTATTTGGGTTGAAGTAAGCTTTTGCGATTTCAAATCATATTTAGATTGATCATGATACAATTTAATATATATATATATTGGTTTAGCTTTTATTTTTCATGTATGATAGTTAATTTTAAGAGATAAATATTTTTATTATAGAATGTATTTACGTTAAATTAAAATATAATACTAAAGTTCATCAAATTTACAAGATTTTCTAACATCAAGGTATGATTTTTTTTAAAAAAAAATTTGTGTGTTTTTTTTTTTAATTTTGTAACCAAAGCTCAATAATATATGTATTTTTGTCTTAAAAAGAAATTGTAATTTTTTTTAAAGATAATTACAAACATATATAAAAATAAATTAGGCGTTTGATAAATTAGAGGTATTGGCCCTCGTATAGTGTCTTCCCGCGTTAAATCGCCGGTCTCTCTCTTTCTCTCTCCCGGCGTTAAATCGGAACCATAACGGAAAATTCCAGAATCGGCCAAAGGTTCCGACGCGCCGACTTATCACGGTAGAGAGTAATTTCGCATTGTAGATATTTTTACCTCTTTTCTCTCGTCGGCGAAGATGACGAAGCAGCAAAACGACGATGGCGGGAAAGAGAACGCGGCGGTGGCGGCAGAGGAGCAGAAGACCAGCTACGTTGTGAATCCTGATCAAGGTACGAAACCGGATCCGAAATGTGTGCAACAGGAGAATACTATTACAATTGCCTCTGTAAATGAGAATAAAATTGGTAAAATCGAAAATGAAGGAATCAAATCGGCGAACGGTTTGAATAAATCGAAGAAATCGGTGCATTGGAGTCAGGAATTGGTGACGGAGTCGTACGTGCAGAGAACAACCGGTAACAGGGGATCGAATCCTTACTTAGTTCATTCTCCGGCTCCGGTCAACAATTCTGCTTCCGTCAATATCAAAAGTTAGTATATTTTTCTCTGTATATACATATAATACATACACATTGAGAATCACGTAAGCACACACACAAATACACAAGTACATGAATAATAAATATTGAGAAGAGGGGACGTAGGATTTAAATTCTATGAGTTCAATCGTTTAAGTTTGTTAATTAGTATTGAATTCGTTGCATTTTTAAAAAAGCAATGAGTTGATACCTACTAGTTATTGTGATTTTAGCAAATTTTTTTATATAAATTTATGTTGCGCGTTAAAAGTAGATAGAGTTCACATGAACTCCATGTCTAATTTGTTGCATCATAAACAAGGTTAAAATTATATATAGTGAATGTTTATTGGTTTTGCCTTATTGGGTTGCGGTCGGAGAAAAGCGGACGTAGGGGCTCGGGTCAGGGCGCAGCGTAACTAAGAGTCATTTCATTTATGGTGAGATAGAATGGGTGGGTCAGATGACTACTACTTCACTTATTATTTTAGTATTAGCCGCTTATCCCAAAATAGAATGGGACGTAATAGAAAGAACGCGAAACGCTAGGACTAAAGAATCACTCTTTTGAGGATAGGCTTGAAGAAGCAAACTTTTAACCCCGCCCCCCACCGGCAGCTTCTAGGTTTCCCTATCTCTAACTTTCCCGATCTTTCGCTCGAGTTGTATGAGGCAAAAACCCGTCCTACGCTCAGTTTGGAGACCAAGCCCCACCCTAACAGTAAGGGTGAGGCTTGACTTCTTCATATTGTTAAATCACCTTGATGAAATTTCTGGCTTTGTCACCGACTGCTTCTGCCACTAACTGCGAGTATATGATTTTCATTTCCATTAGATAAAATGGAGAATGTCAAAGATGTACTTGGTAGATGGGGGAAGAAGGTTGGTGAAGCAACAAAGAAGGCAGAGGATATTGCTGGCAACACATGGCAACACTGTAAGGCTTCTTGTTCTTTGATTTTGTGGCCATCCCATTATTATTTTCAATTTGAGCTTTTCCTGGTTTCTCTTTTGCGTACATGGACATTGCGTTCAAGGAATTATGAGTATTAGAAGTGGTAACTCCCATGGCCATTTCCTGGGACGGTGGGATGTACGTAGACCTTACTCCTACCTTTGCAGATGCAATAACTTTAATTTTCTTTCGTTGACTTGTATAGTGAAAACGAGTCCTAGTATTGCTGATGCTGCCTTAGGAAGAATTGCACAGGGAACAAAGGTTTTGGCTGAAGGTGGTTATGACAAGATATTCCGCCAAACATTTGAGGCAGATCCTGAGGAGCAACTTCGGAATTCATTTGCATGTTATTTATCGACCTCAGCTGGACCAGTAATGGGAGTGTTATATTTATCTACGGCAAAGCTTGCTTTTTGTAGCGATAACCCCCTTCCCTACAAAAACGAAAACAAGACTAAATGGAGCTATTACAAGGTACATCTCTGATTATTTATCAGTCTCCCGCAGTTATTTACTTTAGATTTCTAAAGATGTTCAACCGTTTGCTTCAAATGTAACTCATTCGTTGTAATCTGCTCATTTGCATTTTTACCTTTACGACTGAGTCACTTCCACTTCCACTCTTGGCAAATGGCAATACCTTCCTACCTAGTTCGGGGATCTAATTTCTTGTTCGTTTTGGATATTTATGCATCATTCATTACATACAATGTCATTTGAGGAACTGTATTTTAACATTTCCGTTTGTTTACTTATGATACGATCAGGTTATCATCCCGTTGCATCAGCTTAAAGCAATTTATCCTTCATCAAGCAGAACCAATTCGTTAGAAAAGTACATCCAAGCTATCTCTATTGACAGCCATGAATTTTGGTTTATGGGATTTCTAAATTACACTGGTGCTGTGAAGTGCCTGCAAGACACGCTACAAGCACGCACTTTGCAAGTCGTGTGAGGCGTGTTTTATGATATGATGGCGTGCTTCGCGATGCCAAAAATGTCACCTTCATACATCTGGTTGCCATTGAAGAAGATTCTGAAGGTTTACTTTTACCAACTCAGATTTCTTGGCAACTATCGGATTATGTTTCTGGTTTGTGTTGTTTTGCATTGATAAACTTAAATTAGCAGTTTAACAATGCATACAGAATGTTGAGGCACTTATATATTAACAGATATACATCTTTTATCATATTAACGACTCTCTTCTCTTCGTTCAATTTTACTTGTTATATTTTATTTTGCTAGAGTCAATTTAACTGTTAAATTGAATTAGATTTATTTAAAATTTAGATGTTTGAATATTACATAAATAGTATTATAAGTTGCAGCAAGCAATCCATTTTCATATTAATATGAGAGAAAAAATTAAATACATTATAAAATATTAATTAATGTTCATGTAGTTTAATTTTCGAAAGAGACAAGCAAAAGTAAATGAAGGAAATGACGGTTTTATAATGTAATTGTATCCGATTCTCATATTTTCCAAACAAACATGTTAAACCGTATAAATACTCACAATTGTACTCGAATTTAAACTCTCATGTGTCTTGCACAAGCCCTTGAAGGTTGAAGATAGCAATGCGTCTTTGACCTTTAAATCTTGAATCGATCTCTAATCCATTCATAAGTATTGTTGTTCGTCTTTATATCACGATATCATAAAATATGTCACTAAGGCAAGGATAGAGTGTACATTATTTTTACTATTGTTTCTTTTTAAACGTAAAAAAATTATTTTCGAAAGGCTCTCGACTCAAGCAAATTAAAAGTGAAAGTAAAGAAAGACACGACAATTAATAGCAAAAACATTAGGTAACATATATGCATAGTACCTTAACAACAACAAAAAGGTGTGATCATCTAAACATAATAAACCACGGATGATATCATATATAAAAATCCACCGATTACATGAATAGGCTAATATTACACTGACATAGTGAACAATACTACCACCAAGTCAAATACATGAATATGTTACTAATACGAGAACCCTCAAAACTATCTATTCACTTTTAACTTTTATTCGCGGTTTTCATACCATTCTATCTAACACCATGTCTTTAGTAAGCTAAATATATATGATATTTTATTTAAGCATTTTTTTTATTACTTGTTCAGTCTATCTCTAATTTTCTTTGACCTTAAAATATTTTACCTCTCACATTTTTTACTAAAACATTCGTAAATTTCCTCCTCACATATCTAAATATTTCAATCTCGCTTCCCTCGACTCGTCCACGGGGTGGCCAAAGTCACTTTTAGGAAGGATATAAACTACTATTCAAAAAGGAAATATTTTTCATAAATAAAGGGGAAAACCATTTCGTAACTTTCTTTCTTTCCTTTTTTTCCCCCTCTTTTATACAAAAACAAGCAGAAAACTTTTTCTACATTATTCTTCCAAACTTCTACACATTTTTACTTAGACAAATGGAGTCGCTTTCGCCGGCGATCGGATCAAATCCGATTCGACCGACGACGACTATTTCCGGCGAAAATGAGCTCCTCATCAGCTCCGTCAAGTC